CACTCAATATAGACTGTTGTCCCAACTGATCAGCTGGTTCTTTCTCCACTGTAGTCTCTATCATCACTTCCAGTGGTCTGGTATGTAAAGTGCTTTATAAATCCAGATTTTCTTAATCTAAAAATTTCTGTTGCAATTTCTATCTGCTTTTGATAAACCCATGTTGTATTTTGCTGTTTAGGCATGTACTTCTTAATTTAGAGGACTCATGAAAATGCAGAACTTCTTCTTCAGTTCTTTCTCCTCCCTTCCTCCAGTCCCCCTGTGGATACAAATACTAGGGAGTTCATACCCAAATCCTGAACCCTTCACATCAATTATCTCCAATAATTAGTTTGCTTTCTTAAATTTTATCCATTTTAAGATCAAGTCCTTTAGTTATGAACTTAATTTGTTTCAGTTGCAATGAAATGAAATCTAATGTTTGAGTCAACAAATAAAGAGTGAAATTGTATTAAGAAATTTAAATAGCTTACACGGTTTTATACAAAAAGGGTTTTTATGGGAAATCCAATTTCAGTTTGAAATTACGGTATGAAAGATAAAAAGAAATCTGTGGCATGTGTAATACATTTAGTTTTAGAAGTTGGCTGTAGAGTTAGCTTACAACATTCTGATTATTGTACAGTTTTATACAGGTGAATGACCAGCAGGTTTTGAGTAGCATTTATCAGTGATATATACAATAATATGCGTCACCTGGATTACTTACGGATCACTACTATTCTTCATACTCTTCCGTATTTTTCTGAAAGCATTTTGAATTCCCTGTCATTTTACTATTCCTTAGTCAACTGACAGCTAAAAGCATAGACCAATTAGTTGGCAAAACTAATATCAATAAATCATATTAATAACAATCAGGTTATTGATGTAAAAATATATTGAGTCTTAAGAATATTTACATTGTTAGCTTGGGAAATGAAATTTAAAGACTTTTGAAATTCTAACGTGGTCAGCTTTCACAAGGATTAGGATATCTCTGGATCTGGGATTTGTTGCTCACTTACGGAGGTTTTATAGTAATGTGATTCTTTTGTGTAACTACTAGAGCTTTCCCCTTAGTCTGATACATCCTGTCATAGCAAATAGGGTTTTTATACGCTTCTGAAGTTAAATGCTGTCAGAAAGGACAAACCTTCTAGACTTGAGCCCCCTAGTATCATATGAATCCAGAAGGATTTTATTCAGATCTGGGGGGTGGGGGTGGTGTTT